TACAAGACAAACAGGTTCAAATTACATCAAGAAATGAATCAACCCAATAAAAAACAGAATTCTATTCAAACACATGCATTTTAATGAGCACTTAGAGAAGTACAAAGCAGACAAGGTCAGTTAATTACACCCTTTAGTGCATAATTTTCAAACCAGCAAACACCCAGTTGAATCTATTGGGGTTCCTTCTTCAGAGCAAACTGTCAGTGGAAAGTTGATTTCTTTTAGTCACTTTTGGTATTTTATTTGTGTTTATATTCTAGTTCCTTGTTTCTTATGTTCATTGTGTTTTATCAGTCATTTATCCAATTTTTTCAGCCCAACTTCAGTTACTTGCCCTCCCTCACAGCTGCACCTCGTTTCTAATCAGCCACCTGCTCCTTGTTCAGTAATAGACTCTCCAGCTTAAATGCCTCTCAGTTTCTCAGTTCTGGGTAAGATTATCATGATTTTCCCACCAGTGTGTTTCTTTGAGATCATTTTGTGACGTTTTATCCAGGAATTAGTCCATGGACTTTAGTTTTTGAACTTTCCTGTTAATGTAAAACTGTTTTTTCTCACCTGCCTCCTCCCTAATCTTGGGTCATGCTGTGCATAACAAGAAACTTTACTTTTATTTTAAAATAAAATGTCCACATATTGCAGTTTATTTAAATTGGACAATTAAGAACTGAGATGTATGAGAATTTGCATTTAGTATCTGGCTGTCATCACCAATTATAAATAAAAAGTTTTTTAAACTTGGGTAAAGTGTTTTGGAAAAAGTGTTCAGCAATTAGCAATATACTTTTATATCATGTTTAAAGGCATTGCTAATATATTAATGTTTGATTATTCATTAATCTTCACAAAAAAAGCTTAAATTAGTGCAAAAAAAAAAAAAAACTAAATTTCAAGGGTGCATCCTCCTACTGTCTAATAAGAAAGTTTCAGATTTTCTTGAAATGGTCCAGACATTTTTTTTTTAATGCGGTCCAAATAAACATTGCAATTGCTTTGAATTGTTGCAAAACTGAATATATATCCAATAATATATATCATATGCATCAAACTAGAGGCCTACAGATCACCTCTGGTCCGCCACTGGAGTTTATTCAGCCTCAGGTGACAAAAAGCGGTTTGCCCAAAAGTACGGTAGAGGCATATGTTCTGTTAAAGTGTAAAAAGTGGCAGAAATCCAGTCCCATGTGCTCCTTGTAAATGAAATGATGAAGTCAAAAGCTTCTTTTTAAACTATTAGATAATCTGGGCTCTCAATTAGAAGTATATTAACTCCTACAGTGTCTTTATAGGGCTTTGCCTTCTGGATGCTTGTTTTTATGGAAGCTGGTCAGACTTTTCCAGGTGCTCTTTGGGTTTTAGGGCAAAGTAAGCATATATGGATTAGTCATTTGTGAAATGTTATATTAGTGACCACCTACACCTTTCTGATCTACCGTTTGATTCCAAGTTCAATGTTTTTTAAGATTTTCTCAGGGGTTTTATTTGTCATTAGAAGTTTGTAGGGTCATAATAGTGAGATTCTGATTTCTCGTGAATGCATTCCATCAACTTACTGTTGGATCTGTGGGTCTTTGCTTGGCTGAAGGTTCCCACAGTTTCAGCCAATCACAGATCTAAATGACACAATACAGCATGTGTGGCAGCAGCACGCTGTCATTTTTGCCTGGGGCTTTATGTTAGATCTCAACGGAGCAGATGGAGCCGACACACAAAGCACTGTGTGAATGTGAGAGGGTGCTGACCCTGTAGAGAGAGCTTATCTGCCGGCTAATGCTGGGATCAATTACTTTAACTGAGCACACGCCCTTCAGCCCAGTACGCACGTGGTGGGTTAACGTTCACAATGATGGTTCTAAGATAAATCAAAAATAAACATTTATTTAGATGAGGATATAAAATTTTATTCAAGTATTTTATTAATAAAGAACAAAAAAATGAACTCACCCAGTTTTTACTCTAAGTTATTTCCTGGGTATATTATGGAGCAATGTTAATTCTAGTTTCCAAGTAATGATATTATCTATGGCATATCTATTCCATGAGATTAACAAGCTGATCTAAGTTTCCCACACTAAGTGTCTCTATGGCCATTCTATGACAGATGTTGGCTCTGTCTCCCTGAAGAAACACAGGCTCACATAACTAACCATGCAGGAGGGAAGCAACGCCATTGGCTGGCTCTGAATTTGAATTGAAACAAAATATGCCAGAGAGGACTGAACAGCCAAACTGAAATATTATGATCAATTCACAATTTCTTGTCTTAACTGTTTTAGAATTGTAACTTATTACCAAACTTTATGTAAAATGAAATTAGCAGCTATTATGGTGGTGGATCCCATTTTCTCTTTCCCCAAATCTTTCCAAACCATTTTAGGACGTAAAACTAAGTTAGACAACAGGAAGGACAATTAGCCAAAATCTTTATCAGCACTTCTAGAGTAGCTCCTTTTTTCTTGTTTTTTAATTTTTTTATCTTTTAGTAATTCATAAAACTTTACATTAACATTTAGGCAACGTTATATGCTTTTTCTTTATAATCTAAAAACAATTTTATAGTTGACATGATTAATGCCTTTATTCAACATAGACAATATTTATGCCATTATAGGTAATTGGCTCTACTTTGCAGTTGGCATTCCTATTACTCACACTACAGAAAAACTGAAATCTAAATAAGTTTTTGTCTCCTAAAATAAGTGATTTTTCTTGAATTGAGCAGATAAGTGAGACACTGCCAATTGAACAAGACAATTTACATTTAAAATAAGAAAAAAACAATTGCGTTGTCATATTTCAAGTGCATATTATCTAATTAAAAGTAAAATACTAATTCCATTGGAAAATCATGTTATTTACGTGCTGAAATTAGGGGAAAATACATTTAAACCAAGTCAATCCATCCATTCATTTTCCATCACGCTTATCCCAGCTGGGGTCACGAGGGGTGCTGGTGCCTATCACTAGCTGTCAATGGGTGAGAGGCGGGGTACACCCTTGATAGGACACACTCACACCTGAGGAGAAGCCAATTAACCTAACAGTCATGTTTTGGACTGTGGGAGGGAGCTGGAGTACCCAGAGAGAACCCATTCATGCACAGGGAGAAGATGCAAACTCCATGCAGAGAGACCCCTGAAACCTTCTTGCAACCAGGCAGCAGTGCTACCCACTGCATCACTATGCAGTGGGTAGCACTGCATAGAGCATTTGCTTAATATCCTTATTTTTAGAAAATTAGATATCAGACCTAATTGTCAATAATAATTTACTTTTTTTTCAAACAGTGGTATAAATAAATAATTTAGAGACATTTCTAGTATCTCATAACTTTTTTTGCTGTAATCTTTTGGCGCTGTAAAAACCACCATTTCCCAAATGTGGGGCAGTAAAGGGATTTTCTATTCTATTCTATTCTATTCTATTTTATTCTAAAATGTCCTTCAAACAGATTTATGATTCATCGTGGTGTGTCCTAAAAGACTGTTTAATTTGTGAATATTTACAAAGTTTACAGTTGATTAATAATTGTTTTCTATATCCTTAGGTGTAAAAAAGGAATAATCAGATAAAGATAATTTATTATACACTTTAGTGCAAAAACTGAAGGACTTAAAGAAATTAATAAATGATCTAGTAGAAAACTATCCTTTTTTAAAGTCTTTATTCTAACCCAAATACTTTATTGAAAAAGTCCCCTTTTCTACACTCTTGTACACTTTTGTATTTTGAATCCTGCCCCTAATGTAACATAAACACAACAAAAAGTTAAAATTTAATTTCTTATTAGAGATGAACACGTTGAACACAGTATACCAATGCCTCAAGTAGGAACAGTGAATTGAATTTTGAATTGTTACTGTATACAGCTGAAAAGCATTCATTGCAATTTTTCATGTGTTTAACCCATCTGTGTATTATTTAACTCTTTAGGATTAGGCAATTGCAGCTACTGTAGATATTTATAGTGTACTGAAACCAAATAGAGTCTGGTTCCTTTAAAGGAGAAGTTTGGTTTTTTACACTTTAAGCCCATTTTCTGTAGTGTCCAGGATGAAATCGAATGAAGGACACCAAAATTTTGACAATTGGTCCTGTCTCTGCTTTTTGGCTCATTTAGAACCAACCCCTGGCTGCTTTAGAATGGCTAGCATAGAGCATGTCCGATAATGTCCTTAAAACAACCTTAAACGTTCTTTTTTTAAAATATGCTACTCACCGTGTCGTCAGCGCTGTTCAATGACGTTCCAAAAAAAGTTTCGTGAAGAAAAAACGTTCCTGTAGTGTTTTATTTAGCATTTTGTAAATCCCATTGAGTTCTGTAGGAATAGTCAATATTCCGCTGCCACCGGAAACGGAAATGGGGCCTGTTTACACAGTTGTAGTCTTTTCGCTTCACTCTGCGTACTCCGACGTCGAGGTGCTAACGTCTCTGTTAAACACTTTAAAAAACTCTGAAAATGGAGGTGGATTCTTGATTCTCGACGTCGGAGTACACAGAGTGAAGCGAAAAGACTACAACTGTGTAAACAGGCCCCATTTCCGTTTCCGGTGGCAGCGGAATATTGACTATTCCTACAGAACTAAATGGGATTTACAAAATGCTAAATAAAACACTACAGGAACGTTTTTTCTTCACGAAACTTTTTTTGGAACGTAATTGAACAGCGCTGACGACACGGTGAGTAGCATATTTTAAAAAAAGAACGTTTAAGGTTGTTTTAAGGACATTATCAGACATGCTCTATGCTAGCCATTCTAAAGCAGCCAGGGGTTGATTCTAAATGAGCCAAAAAGCAGAGACAGGACCAATTGTCAAAATTTTGGTGTCCTTCATTCGATTTCATCCTGGACACTACAGAAAATGGGCTTAAAGTGTAAAAAACCGAACTTCTCCTTTAAGGGAATTATCATCGTAAGCTGTTAAAAGAAAGAACAAAACATCAATATATAATTTTCTTCAGGTTATGGCAACAGCATAGAATGAGCCAAAAGCATTTCATCTGGTAGTATTTGTTTATTAAACAAGGCACAATGAGCAATTTGCATTGTTAAAGCTCCAACAATGATGATACATCAACAACAATAAAACTAAATTTTGTATAGAAGTTATACAAGACATAATGCACTCATAGAGAGTAAAGAAAAAAACATCTGTCTTTATAAAAGACAAAGTACAGTATTTCAGAGGAAATTTACTCTTTATATGGAGTAAACATTGCTGATCTAATCAACATAATAAAGATCATAGCAAATGCTAAAATCACGTTCACCATGATTATAACTAAAGAAAGTTGTTTTTCTTTAAGTTAATGCTTTCACAAATAAACTGTGGAAATGGCAAAAATAAATCTTTTTTAAAAAGATGTAGTATTTCTTAGAGATTGTTTCTTTTTACTATAAAAACAAGATCGTTTGTGGAAAAAGTAAAATGTTTCCCAATTGAAACAGATATCATTGTTAAGAATTTGTAATTAAACTTACAAAATACAGAACAATGAGAAAACTTTTCAAAATAAAAGCCTTATTATTCTAGTCTTAGAACAGACTGTAAACACTGAATAGAGTTAAGCTCCTCTCATAAAGATTATCCATAAAAAGGATAGTTGAACCTTGATCACAAATAATCAAAAGATAATTAGTGATTAAAGTATTCCTATTACTGCATTATCAATAATGCTAGCGTAGAAGATTCATGCAACATGCATGAGAATATATATATATCTTTTTAGAACTAAAGACAACGCTGCAGGCATTTTCTCTGGAAATGTAATTACAGAAAATACATATTCAGAATGAATAATATATTCTGTATAAACAAAATAAAATATAATCCTTTAAAAAAGAATTGATTCCAAGACTGTTTGAACCAACGTGGTCTAATTTTCTCTCATAGGAAAAACAGTCTGTAGGTTTCTAAAACGGCCTCCAGAGTGTGCTGCAGGTTGAATTCTTATTTTTACTGATTTCACTTTGTCCTGTTGAGCCCAAAAGAGATGCTTCTCTCAAGTTTTCCTCAGAGGAAGACTGTAGATTGTTGAAGTGGTTCAGCAGACATCTCTGGGACTGTGTCTTCAGATCATCTTTAGATAGGAAGTGCACAGCCTCTTCAACACATGTGGAATAGCCTTGATCAACAGCCACTGAGTTCACATCTGGATGCTTTCTTTCTTTCTGCAGTCGTCTCAGGAAGCAGACTGTCATCTCCAGGATGTCAGCTTTCTCCAGCTTGGAGTCTGGCTGCTGTTTGAGGAACTCTGGACCCAGGAGAGTCTTGAGCTGCTCGATGCTGCTGTTGATTCGCTCTCTGCGTAATTTTTCCACCAGAGGCTTTCTGAGCTGCAGAAACAAAAATAAGACTGTCAATTAAACTTACTTTGCTTTGTAGCATGAGTATCATAATTCAAAAACTCACACGAAGAATGACTCATATTCTATAAACTTCCTATTTACCTTGTGGTTCAGAATCTGATGCTCCGGGGAGATGGTCGTTGCTGTTGGGATTGAAGGTGCCATGCTTGGATCTTTGTGCTGTAGGGGTCTCTTTAGAGAGAATCTGATCTCTGCAGCTTCCACCCTCCTATTTATACTCCCACATCTCCATTTGAATGTGTGGGTCTCTGCTTGGCAGCAGTTTCCCACAGTCTGAACCAATCAGAAAGCTCTGCCGGACAATAAGGTATGTGGGGCGGCAACACACTCCCATTATTGCTGGAGGGATAATGGCTAGATTTTAGAGGGAGCAGGTGGAAGACGCTAAAAGAGCTCTGTGTGAATGTGGGAAAGTGGTGACCCTGCAGAAGGGCTGCCTGATGCTGAGATCAATATCTTTGACTGAGCACACACACATCAACCCAACACGCATCTGGATGATGTTTGTTTGTTAGCTTTTAATGCTGTATATACATTAAACACAATAACATATAGCATAAAATAATAATATAATTATTTATCGTTAATTATATTCCGGGAAACCGGTAATTGGAAATATCTGTGTTGTTTCAGATTGACCAAATTTTTAAACCTGAAACTGAACAGCCAAATTTCAGAGGATATATAGTATCAATTGAATTACATTTTTTATTAATTATTTTTTATTATTTTTAAAAAGAATTAGATAGATATTTGAAAGATGCTAATATACAGATGCAGACAGCTTAAATGGCACGTGCCTTGCAGGCAAACTGAGAAGCAGATTGATCTGAAATGACCTGTTTCCTTCCTTCAGTGCAGCACAAAGGAATTTCTCAGACATATGCTGGCTGTGTGTTCCTAAAGCAACAGAGTGTTACATCATCAACTGTCTGAAGGGAAAGAAATAAGTAAAATCTTAAACACTGTTTGAATTCATGTTTACACTAATTTATTGTAGATTATGAAAGTTAAGTATCATCAATGAAGAGCTTTGATTTGAAGAAGACTTTGTGACGTGTACCTAATCTGTTAAAGAAATTCTTTGGCTTCTTATGGAATAAGATCTTTGTATAGTACTTGAAAAAAAGGTACTTTATGAAAAAATATAGGGGCAAAGGAACTAAAAGTTAATATAAAGATAAAACACTTATTGACAAAAAAGGATTTAAATGTTAGAAAAGTATAAAAAAGTAATTGAATTTGAAATTAAAGTAATACAAATTTCTATATAAGTTTACATTTAAAACAATTAAAAAGGAAGACACGATAACCTACAAATTAATCTTTGACTTTTATAAGGAAGCTGCACAGCAAAGTTTTTGTTCATGATCAGAGGGAGCTAATAGCTTCTGCACATCTGAGGTTATAGAGAGTTCATAACAGAAAACACTGAATCTAAAAATGGCTCCTTTGATAAGTTTGATCCTGAAAGCTAGATAAAAAAGAATGCAGTGATTTGCTTAAATAACACGCTAGAAGCAACTCTGACATTTATATTGACTTGAGAATGGAAAGTGTCTTTAATAAAGGACAAGATTTGCCGTTATATTCTTACTGACCATAGAACCAAAGCAAAGGTCTGATATATGATCCAGCTTCTTGGTAATAATCAGGAATCTTTGCAGTTTGGGTTTATAAGCTGTTGCTGCCATATTAATGTTTTTTTTTTTTTACAGAGCTAAAGATACTATTACAATGATAACAAATAAAAAACACACAAAAAAAATTTTCTGGTTCTGTTTTTTTTTCTGGCTTTCATATTTAAAATTGGAATTCAGTGATTTGCACAACTCCAGATTCCTTTGCCTTATTTCCATTTACTCCACATCTTTGTAATCGTATTCACATTTTAAAGAAGAAAAGTCTTCATACAGCTGATTGTTAAATCACTGTTGTGAAGCTATGTTATGTTGAAAGACCACAATGAGCATTACAGTTATCTAACATGTGATAAAAGTGTGTAATATATCTAAATGAAAGTAACCTGAGAAAGGCCATTAAAGGGGGTCAATATTGCTCGCACAGATTTATAATTGCCCAATCATAAATGATAATTCCAGTCAGCCATGTACAAATTAACCATTGTAAATGATAATCCAGATAACCTCAACCAGTAGGTGATGATCAGTTTAAGAGTTTTAGTGTTTCTTCATCAGAAAATAATGGCAAAAACACATTGTTTTAATTTATTAAATAAGTTGTTATATTGTGATTAGAAATAAAACACAAGGCTGTTTTGATAATAGATTATTTACCATCACACATTAATACGGATGATGATTATGTTGGGTGACTAATGTAAAAAAAATGACTAAATGCGTAGCGCTTTTAAAACTGGTTATTAAAAAAGTAATACAACCTATCTAAAGGTTGGCAACGATTTCTTTTAGTGCTCAAATTCAGCTTTCTGTGTCCTATTTCCATTAACTACAGATCTTTGTAATCATATTCAATGTTTAAAAGGAGAAGCTAATATCATACATATCCCAACCCTCATGACTTGAAATGTCAGGTTTTTTTTAATAGATCTCCCTTAGATTCTGATGTTTTTAATGGTTGACTGTGTTGCAGAACATAAAAAAAATCATATTTTACTGTTTGTGAAACTTTATCATATCTGTATTAGTTTTTACATTGAGAAAATCTAAAAAGGTGGTGACGGTAATTGTGAAAGTGGAGCAGCCCTTGCATGAGGGATGCTTCCATTTAACCTTCATCGTCAGGGCAAAGGTCAGCCTCTATTGTCCCTCAGCGGCTCTGTGAGTAGGTTTATTCTGGTTTCCCACACTCTGTCCTTTCACCACATTCACCCAAATAACAATACAAGTGTGTCCATCCCAGACATGGCACTATTAACCTCCATTTGTCCAAAATTCTCTGTGAAGATGCACAGCATTGGCACATGTAATTCTTATACGGTAAGTTGTTTTTTATTTAATTTATAGGAAAATATATTTTTTATCATCAGATATGTTGTAAAAATTGGGAAAATCTGTAGTTCCTATAAAGAAATCATTACATAAACTACTAGACTAATTGAAACGTGTAAACTTATTTAATCTTTTTTTATAGGCCCTGCCATATGAAACACTGACCTCCAACCAATAGGCGATAAAGACATTTAACAACAGTGTGTAGATCATTAAAAGACCCATTTCAAAGACAGCAATGTAAAAACATCTAAAAAAAAAAACTAACACTAACCTCTCAGACCATGTTCACAGAAAAGTAAAAACAAACACTTGTTGATTCTAAAAACAGATAATTTAAACGTATTCAAAACAAAGTTCACATTGTACCTTTATGTACAAAATACATTGTATAGGACAACTTTTTTTTTTTAATCTTTAAATAGGTCGTGTATAAGTCCTCAGAAAAAAGACCTTTTCACATCTTTCTGCAAAAAAAATTTACTTTTAAAGAGTTTATCAAAATGATTAGAACTAAAAGTTACCTTGACGTGAGTCATCAAATCTTCAGTATCTTCAACCCAAATAAATATTTCAGAATAGAAAAACTGTTAAATCCTGAAAACAAACTTTCCCTCATCAGGTAAACGAAGATTTACATATTCTAAAAGAACAATTAATCACAACTAAATGATGAAGAATGGTCAAATAAAGTAACAAAAGAAAAGCTGATGCATCGATTTGATTATATTCCCACACTCTAAAAACAAGTGGGTCAGCAATAACCCAAACTGGGTTATTTCCGGCCAAACTGCTGGGCTATTAAAGCACCATCCCAGCAGTAGTGGATTTGACCCTACGAGATGATGGGCTGATCTTTTATAACAAATGGGTTATTATATTCTACCAAAATGATGGGTTGAAATAGATGCAAATTTGGATAAATTCAACCACATATATTTGTTAATAGCCTCTACCCAAATGCTGGGTCAAATTGTGGTTGTTTTAACCAATTTGTTACTTCTTTACCTACATGCTAGGTGAAATTAACCTCAGATTTTGATTGTTTCACTAGCTACATATATCTATTCAGTAATCTTTTTAAATCCTTGGTAAACCTGTGAAATACCTCAGATTTCTTCTTAGATATTACAGTACAATCATTAGGAAAATAAATTGCAATAGACTATTCATTCCTATGTCAATATACATGCTAAATTTGGTAAATTTGTAAAGTATGTTTTATGTAATAAACAAGATGTATTACTACTCAAAACCCACATTTCATAAAAGGAAGTAGTAAAGTTAATCATTGAACAATGGAGAAAGGATAAGACAGCCTCTGTATATATACTCTCTGTGTGTATATATATATATATATATATATATATATATATATATATATATATATATATATATATATATACTAATGGAGGGTGTTGTTTTGTTTATTAACTTAAAAAGTAAGTCATTAACATCCAAAAGAAGCTGAATAAAAATGCAAACGAAAAATTATGGATTTTCCTGAAAAGCTCAATCATTATAAATAAATGTATTTATCAGCATCTATCGATAAAAGTCAATCATTGTTATCTTAGTGGAAAAAGCGAGCTCTATCCCCTTAGTATAAACTTGCTCTCATTTTAAAATCAATTACAAACCCTTTTAAGGCTAATTTATATTTGCTGTAAGTTAGCTCAAGTAAGTAATTTAACGTCTTTTATGGATCAAGTTTGTACAAAACTTCACTTCCTTAAGGCTAAAGTACTGATAAACCATCCCTAAGTTTATTCTGGTGTCTCACGGTCTGTCTTTGTCTAGTTTATTTTTTATTTTTTACTGGAGGAATATAAGGATGCTTCTCATCCTGCTCTTAACATTTGTATAATAAAAAACATAATATAAAAGTGTCCTTTAAATATAGTTGCAAAGATAATGATATAGTAAATACTAGTAATGAGAGATGCTTACTAAAAAGGAACCATTAGAATGTTGGTGGTTTATATGATGATGAGTTGAAAAGAAACACAAGAGAAATGCACTTATTGAAGGTTTGGTTCTTTTTTATTTACTTCAAAACCGAAAGTTATTCACTCCAAATAAATCAGATGAAACATCCAACAAACACTTGTAGATTTCTACAAGACACAGTGAACTCAGAGAGTGAAGGAAGAGCATCTTTATAAAAGATAAACAACTTACAGAACATACTGCTCTTAGAAATTTTGTTACATTTGTGTAAAAACAAATTTACACTTTTTAACGGATGAAGAACATCTTCTGTCTGACCTT